CCCAGGCCCAGAGCGGGCCACAGCCCGCTCTGGGCCTGGGTCTGCGGGTCGGCGCCGAAGTTCCTGCCCGCCGGCTCTGCCTGCCGCCCCTGCCGTAGAGGGATCGGTGCTGCCCGGACGGGACGGCTGGCTCGGGGCTGGCTGACTGCCGTCCGCGACGCCGAGCCCCTACCAGGAGGCACCCCGATGGTAGCAACCCGCCGCGGGCTGAGGCCCTAGAGGCCCTGCGGCCCTGCTGTTGGCGGGCGGAGAGCACTCGGGTGCTGGCGGAGTCTTCTCGGCAGGAGCCGGGCAGCTCCACCGCCTCAGCGGTCCCCGGCCAGGTTCGCCAAGTTCGAGCGGCCTGGCCTGCGGCTTCCGCCTCCTCCGGGAGCGCGCTGTGGCTGAACTCCTCTGCTCCAGCACAGGCCTTGGCACCTGTCAGGTCATTGCCAGGGCTGCAGAGGCGACCTGACTGACAGCACCAGACAGTAGAGAAGTCTTGTAGACTGACTTGTAGAACAGAAAGTATGTTACAAGAAATCGTAATGAACTTCGAAGCCTTAAAGTTCCAGGATATGTGACGTCTGTTCTTGAGGGAAAGGGAGAACTGCGATTAATTTTAAACAAAATTTACAGTAAGTTAGAAATGTTTTCTAACAAGGCTATGCCTTTGTTTTGGAATTTCTTTCACTAGATGGAGGCTTGGTTGTTTTTAGATGGGGGTGGGGATGGTGGTCTAAGTGTAAAATAAGTCTACCCTATTTATTTCACATCCAGCACCAATTTTCTGTACTTTTGAGGTCCTCTTTTAGGTATGTGAGATTACTGCCTTCTCTTCTTAAAAAGCAAACAAACAAACCAGCATGGATGTATGATGCATCCAGTGATCAAAATGAAACTAAGGAAAAAATGACAAGTTGTCTAATTAGAACCAGCCACGACACATATATCCTCAAGCAACATCTGTTCCCAGTTTCATGGAGTAAAGTGGAAGTATTAAAAACAAGCCAGAGACATCTGGATAATCATCTCGAAACAGGTTGGCTGTTAGGGAAAGTTGAAACCAGCAAGAATTTGGCAGTGTTTCTTTAAATTGTTAAGAAAAAAAATATCCAAGCTGTTTTCTGGCATAACTAAAGCGGAATATTGTGAATCAGGCAAGAACAACAAAAGAAATGAACTCTTTAAAAAACAGCTATTTTTAACATTATAGTATTTAGGATTCTATGCATACTGTACACTCGATTATTCTGGGAACTGCGATAGGACATTGCACTGTTAAAGTGATAACTGGCACTAATCCAACTTACAAACATTACCTTCTAGAATGTAATGGCATCTTGCTTGGGGAAAGCATGGTAATGAGAAAGAATAAAATTACATGCATTCTGTAAAAAAAAAAAAGTGGGTGTACATGTGTTCTGACTTTCATCAAATAAAATATCTTAGCCGAATAACTGAGTAAAGAAAACTCACAGTTTAGGGTGCTTTTATCTAGGCTAGCCTACGGCTTCTTATGCATCTCAGCCTAGTTTAGTACTTGTGATCTCATATCAGCCTGGTGTGGCTGGATTACAAGTATGCAACACTGTACCTTTTTGTATTAAGAGTTTTTGTGTAAGGTGGTGGTGGCTCATGTCTTTAATGCTAGCACTTGGGAGGCAGAGGCAGGCAGATCTCTGTGATTTCAAGGCCAGACTGGTCTACAAGAGCTAATTCCAGGACAGGCTCTAAAGCTACAGAGAAACCCTGTCTCAAAAAACCACACACACACACACACACACACACACACACACACACACACACACACAAGCCTTAAGAATGAAGATTTTAACATCCCATTGCCCACAGGTAATATGTAAAGAAATAAAAAGCAGTTGGGAGGCCAGGGACAGCAGATCTCTGAGTTTGAGACCACTGTGAGTCCCATGGTAGGGCTACATAGAGATACCGTCTCAAAATAAATAAGTACATGAATAATTTAAAAAGGAGTAAAAGTAGTTCAATAAAATTCTGCTCTTATGACTTCAGTTGCCCTTCTTAAAACACTAACTTTTTAGAATCATTTAAAAAGCTTATGTGGCCTACCATAAGAGGACCAGGACTCAGAGGTGGGTTACACCAGAGACCTAGGATAGAATCAAATAGGACTGGCAAAAAAGAAAAAAAAAAGTCAATGAAATGATTCCTAATGATATCTGCTATACTCATTAGACTGGTGCCTGGGGCAGCTGTCATCAGAGAGGTGCCACCCAGCACCTGATAGAAACAGTCAAACATTAGGCAGAGCTCTGGAATCCTGTGAAAGAGGGGGAACAAAGATTGTAGGAGCCAGTGGGGTAAAGGACACCACAAGAAAACCCACAGAATCAACTAACCTGGGCTCATAAAGGCTCACAGAGACAGAACTGAGGTCTGGGGAGCCTGCCTGGAACTGACCTAGGTCCTCTGCATGTATATTGCAGTTGTGTAACTTGGTCTTCATGTGAAACTGAACAGTGGGAGCAGAGGCTGTCTCTGACTCTGTTGTCTGCTTTTGGAACCCATTCCTCTTTCTGGATTGCTTCATCCAGCCTTAATAGAAGAGGATTTGCCTGGTATCACTGCAATTTGATAAACTGTGGCTAGCTGGTATCCATGGGAGGCCCTCTGGTTTCATGGAGAAGTGGATTGGAGGTGGGGAGTTGCGAGGAGGGACTGGGAGAAGAGGAGGGAGGGGGAAATTTGGGGATATAACAACAACAACAACAACAAAACGTATGTGGTTTAGCAGTGGTAGTGCTTGCCTTTAATCCCAGCACTTGGGAGGCAGAGGCAGGTGAATCTCTAAGTTCAAGATCAGCCTGGTCTACAGAGTGAGTTCTAAGACAGCGAGGGCTACAAAAGAAACCTGGTCTTGAAAAATCAAAAATAAAGAATAAATTTTAAAAATTTTATGTGTGTGTCTGTGTGTCTGTGTGTGTGTGTGTGTACATACCTGAGAAGGCCAGAGGAGGGCATTGGATCCCCTGATACAGCTGTGAGTTGTCTTACGTGGTCAGTGGTGGGAAACAAACTCTGGTCCTTTGAAAATCGGCAAGTGCTCGTAACTGCTAAGTCGTCTTTGCAACCTCCAAACCCAAGATACTGCTTCTTAGAGAAATTTGGTTTTGGTGGTTTTGGTTTTGTTGATGCTTCAGAGTGTGCTTCCTCTGCCTACTGTGTGAACCAGAACTGGCAGCACAAGGTTCAGTCTAGTTGAGAGAGCTTAAATAAGCACAATCAATGAGCTGGCCAGTGGTGGCCCAGTGTTTTAATCTCAGCACTTGGGAGGCAGAGGCAGGCGGATCTCTGTGAGTTCAAGGCCAGCCTGGTCTGCTAGAGCTAGTTCCAAGACAGGCTCCAAAGCTACAGAAAAACCCTGCCTTGAAAAACCAAAACAAACAAACAAACAAACAAACACAATCAAGTGCCACCTCTGAAAATCCTCTTTTCCTCCCCTTTCCTCTTCACACCCCTCCCTTTTCCCCTTCCCCTTTTCTTCCTGTGCCTTCTGCCTCAGGCTTCTTAGTCCTTTCTGAGTTCTTTTTTAAATTTATTTTATTTTATTTTTATTGAACTATACATTTTCTCTACTCCCCTCTTTTCCTCCCCTCTCCCCTTTTCCCCTTTTCCATGACCTCCATGCTCCCAATTTACTCAGGAGATCTTGTCTTTTTCTTCTTCCTATGCAGATCCATGTTTGTTTCTCTTAGGGTCCTCTTTGTTGTCTAGGTTCTCTGTGGCCTTCCTGAGTTTATAGGCATGTGTTACCACATCCAGTTGAAAAAAAAAATCTCTTCCTTGATGAGGGCTAGTTCACTGAGGTTCACTGAGGTAGATTTATATTCTAACACGTACTCAGAAGACTCACAGGCACTCCATTACATCGAAGACTAACAGGTTTTCTTTTAACATAGTTGAGTGCCCCAAATGCTTAAAGGTCACCTGCATAGTTGGATATCAAGTACTAAGAGCCATGGGAATCATCTTACAGGACGTAAAGCAAGCATATGGTTTAGTTAAATTATTTCATGCTTTTCCCACATTGACTCCAGCCAGTGAAGAGTTTCTACATGGCTAGTTTTGAGGAATGTGCATGAGGTAACTATACTTTCTTGATTTTAAAGTCTTTCTCTTTGTTGAATTTATATATAACAGAGGTGGCCCCCTAGGGGGCCTTTTTAAAATTGCTTATGCTTGTGGCTTTGGCATTTATTTCCAAGAGCCAGCAAGCTTTTCATACGAATACTTGAGGGACTCCTTAAAAAGCCCCCTTTTTTGAAAAGTAGGAAAAAATGTCAGCAAATAAATTAAAAGCTTGTTAGATTATATATTAGTAAGTAATGCTTGCACTGTTCTATATTTATTAAATGTGATACACATTTAAAATTTACAACTTTGAGAAGTAAATATAATTCTCTTTTTTGATGAGGGGAATTTGAAATTATGATTAAAAGTCAGCAAATATAAGACTTGAATTCATATCTTGGGCTCCAAATCTTAGGCCATTCCCATTTCTAAGAAGTCCAGAATCAGCCACTAGACTCTTAAGAATCACTGTATAAACTACTTGTTTGATTACTAAGACAGGGACTTAACTTGGTAGTAATATTAGTCTCATGATTTACCAAATAAGCAGAAGCATTCTTTAAAAACTTCAGGTATCTCAATCAAAGAATCAAATTTAACACCACAGTAGATCATTTGATAATGTGAAGACCCCAATATCATGTGATGACAGGGACCTATTGCCTTTGAGTATTCTTACTCAAAATCCACAAACTCAGTATAGTCTCCCCTACCTCCTGCCCCCATGAGGTCTTCCCTTAACTCTATACCATTCTGTCTCATCTTCCCAATTCTGGGATTGAAGGCATGTGTCACTATGCCTAGCACACACTCAGGGAAAGTCTGAGGAAACATTAGGCAAAGCCAAGTTGAGGGATAGTTTATAAAGTTCTTGCCTCTTCAAAAATATCAGGAACTGGACATGTCATTGGTATGAATCCAAAATAATTTCAAATAAAAATTTAGTTAAATAGGGGCTGGAGAGGTGGCTCAGTGGCTAAGAGTTCAGACTCCTCTTGCAGAGGACCCAAGTTTGATTCCCAGCACTTTTGTTGGTTTTCTCATAACTGCCTACCAACTGCAGCTCCAGGGGAATCTGATGCCTCTGTGGATACCTACACTGATGTCACTAGTAAAATAAGTATTAATAATATCAAAATAACTTATACTTGAAAACTGAAATCAAAACTCAAAAGAGTTATAGAAAGCAGTTGTACATGAAGTTTTTAGAAGATTGTATTTAAATTAAGCCAAAGTCTATTTTAGTGAAGTATGAAAATGGGATTAAAATGATTTTGCATACTGATGGAAAAAGAATTTCTGTTCTCTTTATTTCTGGCACTGCTGGTTATCCAATCATAATAACTAGACCATAGGAAGGAAACAATCTTTTCATTTACTTTATAAACTTGACAGCATGGAGGGTGGTACTGTAGGGAGTCACCAGAGAAACTGGGAAGAACATTGGTTTTGACCTAGCTTCGAACCCTAGGCCTTCTGCTTTCTATGATGAACCTGGACAAGTTCTGAACCTCTCAAGAGAAGTTTTCATTGGGTCAAATGGTTGTTGAGAAGACTGACTGAAATAAAGTGTATAATATACTCGTATGGAGAAGGCTTTTGGACAACTCATCCAAGTTTCTATAGCTAAGTATTGGAAAAATAGTTCTGAAAAGTCGTATGTTTGAATATCCGGGCCATTCTTGTGTTCTTACTACACCGTGACTTGTTTTAACTTTCAGATGGAGAGAAGAGACGCGGAGGGCAAGGGTGATCTGTGCAGTTTTTGAATGAGTTCTGAGGCAGTCACATGCCTTCCAGAGAAAACATAACTTTGCAGCATTGTGTAACACGAATTCTAATTGTTTTTAATAAAAACCTGGAGTCAGATGTAGGGGGTAATGTTGAAGATCAGAGAAGCAGAGAAGTCAGTCACTAGAGAGTTCTTTTACCTCTACCAATGCTCAGACAGTCCTCACACTGCATCTCCAGACTCCATGTGTCTCCACCAAACCTCAGACTGCATAGAGCTCCTGATTCCTTCAGCCTTATATTCCTCTCTCCACCCAGCCATATTATTCCTTTCTCCACCTCCCTAGTGCTGGGATTAAAGGTGTCGGTTCCCAAGTGCTGGAATCGCCTTTGAGTTCTCTTTTAGAGAGATTCAATCTTGTGTAGCCCAGGGTGGCTTTGAATTAATAGAGATCCCTCTGCCTCTGTCTCCTGAGTTCTTGGATTCAAGGTGTACCACACTGGCTGACCTCTAGAAGCTTAGCTCTGCACTCCGACCTTCAGGC